GAGTAAATAAGCTAGGCATGGTGGTGCATACTTTCATTCCCAGCACGGGGGGAGGGGGGCGCAGAGGCAGGCTGATTAGAGTTCGAGGCCAGCCTGGTCTGCAAAGTGAGTTCCAGGGCTACACAGAGAAACCCCAAACCAAAGCAAAAAACAACAACAAAACAAGTGAGTGAATAATAAGATGTGCAGAGAGTATCTGTAATCCTAGTAGTCAGAAGGCTGAGGCTGGAGGACTGAGTTCAAGTTTGGGTTACATAACAAGACTCCAGAAAAAAGTAATTATGGAAGTTGAAGGACAGTTGGGGGTCATAATCAAGTCTCACTGAGGCTGACACAGGAGAGGCTCCAATTGAGGCCAGATTGGGTTAACAGAAGTATGTATAGTATATGAACTGCTCCAGGCATCTAGTTTCTATATTAAAAACTTCCCTAAGGAGGTATTGGAGTGTTTCCCCCTAGTTTAAACTCCCCCTTTCACACCACCTTTCAGGTACCCCAGAACACTTGTTTACACATTGTTACCAGTTAGTGAAGATAATATACCCAGGATATTGCAATATAGACAGATAATAACAAACGTAGATGCAGCAACCTTTTACAAAAAAGAAATAAACAAGTTTGGCATTGGGTCAAGAAGCGGCCCATTAGCTTTAAAGGTTTGGTTGTTGGTGTTTTAAACTGAAACTCTAGAATTTGAGCCAAGGAGTTTAATCAGGGCAGAGTAGGTGCAGCTGTGCCAATAAAAGTCTGATTCTTTATGCTTGTTTCCCTCCTCCCCACATAAGTATGCTTGCAATGTGCACATGCATGCTCTCTTGGACATGCGCCTGTCCACACCTGTTTTGTCAGGTCCTGGAGCAAAAGAACATTTGCAGCTGTTTTCTAGCTTAGCATATTTCCCAGTTGTCCACTGTTGGGAAGAAAAATGTGTGTGCTCAGTAGTGAAGATATAAATCCTTACTGACCCATCTAAATTCAGAACTAAGTGTGGAATATGAAGCTCTTATCATTTTACTTTGTGGATAAACTTAGTGAAACTTAGCGTGGTGGCACACGCCTTTAATCAGGAGGCAGAGGCAGGCAGATCTGAGTTTGAGGCCAGCCTCGTCTACAGAGCAAGTTCTGGGACAGCCAGGACTATACAGAGAAATCCTGTCTCAAAAAAAACTTGGTGAAACTGTTATACAAAAGGTAGACAATTACAGTTATTTACTAACCTTAGTAAATAACTTAAAATACTTAAAATTATAATCTCTCCAGTCCCCCAAAGATGTTTTTTTAAATTTTATTCATAATATATAGATCAGTAGTATCAATGGCAGATTTGGGCTGGGGCATCATGGCATACACCTTGAATCTCTGTTAATGTGAGGCCAGCCTGGTCTACATGGGGAAACTCCAGGTCAGTCAGGCTGTGCAGTGAGACCCTGTCTCAAAAACAAATAGGCAAGCAGACATTGTCGTAAGGCAGGTTTGGTTAGGAATGTAGCTTAGTTGGTAGAGTGCTCACCTAGCGTGCTACGGTTTCTGCCCCTAGTGCCGCAGAAACCAGAAGTGGTGGGTATGCCTGTAATCCTACCACTCCTGAAGGCCAGCCTGGGCTACATGAGATCGTGTCTAAAAACAAAACAGTGGGGAGTGTGGGGCTGGAGAGATGCTTAGTGGTTAAGAACACTGGCTGCTCTTCTAGAGGACCCGAGTTTGAGTCCCAGCACCTCTGTGGCAGTTCACAAATGTCTGAACAGTTCCATGGGATCTGATACCCTTTTCTGGCCTCTGTAGGCACCAGGAGTGCATATCGTACACATACATACATGAAAGGAAACACCCATACACACAAAATGTAAAAATACATATCTTAAAAAAAACAGATTTGGGGTTTTATACTTAACATTTATTAAGGAGAATGAAACGGGATCAGGCTAAATTTTTTAACTCATGTAAATCTGTTGCTGTTAATTGATGTACGCATTTCAGTGGATTTAAATAGAATTCAATTTTTCTGTTGTTAGGGAGAACATTTCTATTTACCCCTGGCTGGCTGGAACTTGTAGTCCTAGCGCTTCTGCCTGCTAATTGCTCATGTTCTCAAACAAAAAGGCAGATCTGTGTTTTGTGCAGTATCTGGGTTACATGGAAACTTTTTAAGCTTTGGTTTTGGCCCACTGTTTTCTTGTTTCTTTTTGTTTTGTTTTGTTTTGGTTTTGATTGTTTTTTGCTTTTTGTTTCCCTGACTGTCCTGGAACTCACCTTGTAGATTAGGCTGGCCTCAAACTCAGTGAACAGCCTGCCTTTGCCTCCTGAGTGCTGGGATTAAAGGGGTGTGCTGCTATGCCCAGCCTGCCCGCTGTGTTTGTGATCAGTTTGTTTGCTGGCTTTGTCTATGCATGTTACTAAATGTCCTGTGATCTCTGTGGGTGACTTTTCTTTTAAAAAGCTCGTGTAAAGTTCAGTAAGTTTTCAGCTGTAATAATGATTCCAGTCTAGACTCGGGAAGTGTGGAAGATTATTTTCTCTGTATGTGTCTTAATTGACATTGTGCCTCACATAAGGCAGTTTTTGATTTTTGGTTGTTAGTTTGTTTTTTCAATCATATTTCTATGAAGACGTAGTCCTTAGAATTTGTAGGAAAAGCAATGATACCTACTCTCTGGGCCTCTTTGTTTTTTGAAGCAGGGATTCACTGTGGCATCCAGGCTGTCTTGACACTTGTGATCCTCCTGCCTCTTGCCTTTGAGTACAGGGATCTGAGCACACGCCACAGTGTCTGATAGGGTCCTCTGTATCCCAGTGTTCAACACCTGTTAGCCTCTGGGCAGGGTCACTTCCTCTTGTCATTGGTGCGGAAGGCTGGCTTTGCCTGTGTCTTCTCTCTCTTACTGCTGTTTCTGATACTTGAAGTTTTACAGTAATGAATAGAGATGCTGTAAGCCATTAGGATTTATGATAGAGAGAGCATCTTTGTTCTCCACCTAGTTACAAGAAGGAAGAAAAATGGGCTCAGTGGTCAAGTGCACATGTGAGCGAACCCTGGATTCAGCTCCCAGTATGGGAGTGATGGAGCTTCCTCAGATCCCGTTCGCTTCCCTCTCCTATCAAAGAGAAGTTATGGTGCTGCTAAGCTTCCCATTTAGCTGTATTGCATGTACTCCTGGACAAATAATAGTTTTTCGTGCTTTTGAAACTCTGTAAGTGGAAAATTTATATAAGAATGTGTGTATTTATATGTATTTTTTTTTTGTACTTTTATTTTTTTAACTCAGCAGTTTGGATTTCATCTGTGTTTGTATGTTACATTCTGTGGCAGTATCTTATCTCAGTTTATTCATCCATCTTATTTGTGGACATGTAGCCTTTAGTTTACTGTTACACTGGGCTACCATGGAGGTTTTACTTATGCCTTTGAAAGCGTCTATGAGGAATTCTCTTGAGTGTATTCCTGAAGAGTATGTGAGGTTACAAAAAATGGATTTCTTTAGCTTATTGGGTACTGACTAATTTCCAAAGTGGTTATATTAATTCACACTCCTAGCATTAGTGTAGAGATTCCAGTTGTCCCGTACCTTCACTTACTTCTTCTTTAAGACTGGCAAGATGACTCGGGGGGAGAGGCACTTGTCATCCAGCCTGACGACGACCTACCTGGGATTCACATCCTAGGCCCCTGACCTCCATGTGTCTGCTGTGGCATGTCTGTGCCCATGCACATCCACAAAACAGATGAAATGTAGAAATATATTAAAGACATACTTGTGATGGGGACTAAAATCCCTGTAATAAGGAGTGAGGCTCAAAAGTCCCGGCTCTCGGCGGTCCATGCTTTAGTGACAGAGCGGGAACAGTTATGAGAGCCGCTGTCAACAGGTCAAGGAAATCTGCTGGTCCTGGCTTCACTCCCAAGTACTTGCTTAGAAATATTTCCAGAAACTGAGGACCTGAATTGGTAGCCTGGTACCCAGTTACCTGGCCTCAAAAAGCACATCATTCTTGGTATGCTGACTCTGGTCTCCCATCAGAGTGTGGCCCTGCCTTTATAGTGTCGTCAGGGGCTTGCTTGCTTTTCACTCTGTTGTTGAAAAATTCTCGAGACTCTAAGAGCACTGCTTCGCTGGGTAGTGCCAGCGCTGTTGTTCCTCCTGCTTTCAAGACCCCTGTTACATTGTTTCAGTGTCCCTGTTCTCACATGATTGAGCCTCGGGATTTATAAAAACTACTGGAGGGCGGCAGGGCACATACTGTAATTTGATAAACTGACACTTCCTCTACAGCCATCTTGATCCATGTGTCCCACTTCCCTACCTTGTGTGTGTTACATTCGGGGTCATGAGAGTAGCTCGGGTCTGTTAGGATTTTTCCTGGTTAGATTGAAGCCTATGTTGGAAAGGCTGTCATAGTTACTGGTACCTATATGTTAAGGGAAAGAAAGAAAATCTACACCAATCCTCATATAAATCCTGAGTGATTCAGAACCCATCCCAGTGCCCAGAAGAGGTTGGGTGGGTTTGACCTAAATTAAGTTATGGGGAAACCCATGAGACTGTTGTCATCTCCTTTGACTGATGCAAATAATTCTCACATGCATGTTTCTAATATTGTGAGCAACTGCAAAGCCCATATGAGTTTATCATTTGCAGGTATGTGACGCATTCCCAGACCATCCTGCAAGCTCAACGCCAGCTCCTTCTGTGACTGGGTCCAGATACAGGTCCTTTCAAGACTGACTTCATTGGATCTACTGGCAAGGACCCCACCAGGTTTTCCTGACCTACTACGTCACTGTAAAGAGCCATCGGGCAAGAGGGCCAGCATCAACAGAAGACGCACTGCGTCTGTCAGCGCCTCTGCTTCACCAGGCATAATAACCTTACCAGCAGTGCAGAGTACCTTGTGGGACACCATCACCCGCTGATACTGCTGCTGCTGCTGAACAGTTCAGACTAGAGGTCTGGCTTTCCTTAAGACGCTGGGATTTGAAGGAGCTATTCTGTGATCTGTGCTTCTAGTAAGTGACTGATAGTATTCTAGACTGGACTGGTCCGTGAGTACAGAGACTGAGTTGCAATTAAGTGAAAAATAGAATACAAGATCTTGAAGAACTGCACTAAGGTGCAAGCCAGATTTAACACTCCAGTGCTGTGAACTGAGAAGTTGCTAAGGAAACCTGTCACAGGACTGATTGTCGCCGCTTACTGCCTTTCTCTCTGTGTCCTTGTTGCCTTTTGCTGTTACACTGCTTGTGCTGTCTTTCTAAGCCCAGATGTTCTCCGATAACTCCCACTGCCCTGACTGTGGGCAGCAGTGGTTCCCTAGTTTAGAACTAGGGCATTGGTTATACCAAACTGAACTTGTTGAGAATGAATGTTACCAAGTGTTCTTAGACCGTATTAACCGAGCTGATTATTGTCCTGAATGCTATCCTGACAATCCTGCTAATAGAAGCCTTGTTCTGCCTTGGTCTTTCCCACTTGAGTGGGCACCTCAAAATCTCACCAGGTGGACCTTTGAGAAAGCTTGCCACCCATTTCTTCTGGGTCCGCCACTGGTTAGAAAAAAGATACACGACTCCAGAGTAGCTGGTTTTAATCCTGCATTACAGTTAATCTTGACCAGAACAGACAAAACCTTAAACAAGAAACTTGGCCAAAGCAAGTGACTTCTGTAACAGAATCATGAATTCTTCCAGGGCTTTGTGTTCATAGCCTAGGGGAGATGAATAGTAACTTGTTTCTGTTTTCTTTCTCTTTTTCTTTCTCTCTTAATTTTTTTTAAGGTGCTGGGGATTGAATCTGGGTGCCCTTATGCATGCTAGGCAAGTGCTCTTCCACTGAGTTTAACCCGAGGCCCCTCTAAATCCGACTCAGACTGTCACTACTTGGTCTACTGCTTGACTTGTTGGGTCTGCTTCTGCGATCTATGCATTTTGTTTTTTGTTTTTTAGCATAAGTTTAGTCAGTATTGCAGACTATTTACCTAGAACCAAACTAACCTGTAGTCCAGACAAATGCTTTAGAACTAGATTGCCCCTCCTAAGTATTGATGAGATAATGTGGGCTGGAGGGGAGGCCCCATGCTGTATGCCCCATTAACTTTTTCTAACAGCAACTTTTATGAGAACACATTCTTGTAGCTGGATTCTAGATTATTCTAGTAAATTTTAATACACTACATTGTTCTAGACTTCTCTTCTTAGACATCGATCAGTAGTGAAGGAGATGTGTATGTTTATAAAATTTGTTCACATATCTATTGACACTTTTATCCTCAGCATAAGTGTTACAGTGTTGATAGCTGGTCCTTTCACATTCTGTTTGTCAATACCTACAGAGGTTACGAAAAAGGGTTGAGAAAGCTGCCAGTTTACACTTACTTGTCTCTCCATAACCAAAGACTGCTGTCTTGTGGTGACTGAATTTAACGTCCTCCTATGGAAATGGAAAAATAACCTGTGCTATGAAATTCAGAACAAATGGTAAAGCTTGACTCCATATAATTTAAGACTAGTCTAGTGGATGCTTTTGACATAAGAATGTGTTGCTGAGCATTGGCCACATTCTGGGGTTCTCCTGTTCATGGAAATCATGGAATCAGATTTGGAGTTAAGCAACTAGAAAAAGCTCCTGGGAACATCTGAGAAGCCACTGAACAATTTTTAAATCCCACTTAAGATTCTAGGTGATCCACTGCTTGTGTAGCAGCGAAAATGTCGTCAAGGACCTGGTTCTTCTCTTTGCTCCCCTGGGGTTCTTAGGGGGGTTGCCTTTGTTTTCATAGTTCTTGAAATGAGTTCAGTTATGCTTTGTTGTGCCAGACTGTAGGGGGCACGTGGCTTTCTTTCTTACAAGTCTTAATTTGGAAATAAAATCTTTCTGAAACGTCTCAGCAGATTTTTTTTTTTTTTAATCTCATTAGCAGGTACTGGTTGACACTAGTCTGAGGAAAAACTTGGCAAAGGAGAAGATTGGCCTTGCCCTGATATGGCACATTGCCTCTGCTGATAAAACTGTCATCTTTTAAGGGGGGACATGGAAGAATGAATAGCTGTCGATATGCACCAAATCTTGCCTTCCACATCTTGTGAAATCTGGTTTTTGTCTGTCTCTATAAAGATTGTATTCTAGTGAGCCACTGTTGTGTCTGCCTATGCCCATCATGGTGGAGGCTCTCTCCTGGTACATTGCTGAATAAACTGTGTGGACTGCCAACTTGAACACTAGTCAGTCATTAACTTGCAGTGAGGCACTCCCTCACTGTTTGTCCTAAAGCTCTTCCCAAGACAGCCTTTTTAGAGGCTACTATTGCCTCTTCATTAGTTAAGAATGCCTAGGCCCCAAGGACGTATGCTAAGATTCCACATGTCTAAGATTGAAACATTAGCAAAATAGAAACCAATTTTTGTTTTAACCAACTTTTTAACTAGTAGTATCAACATACAAAGAATTTATACCATTGAGTTCTCTAAACAAGCAGCAACTGGACATACTTTTAAATTTAAAATTTCTTAGTCTATAAACTATTGTGAGGAGTCTATGGACCATACACTGAGACCTGCACCAGTACATCCATAGTATGTGCTTAATCTAGCTTAAGAGGAGAGCCTGATGAACTCTGAATACTGCAAGTGACAAGTTGAGCAATTAATCAGAAATGGTCTGTCTTCTTCAGCAGCTCTGGGTGATGACATTGTAGAACTACATGAGTATATGGGCCAGAGAAAGGACTCGTCATTTTGTCTTCACATGTACATAAAATGCCAGTATGTAATAAGCTACTAGAAACCATTGTCACATGGAAGAGCTAAAATTGAGCAGAGAAGGAAATTTGGGAAGCCTTTGGTAGCTTAGGTCTTTGGAATATTTTTAAAAATACTTTTAGAATGCTGTGTAGATTAGAACACTTCCAGTAAATATGAATAATGGATTTTACCAAAATATTAATTTGATTAAATTCTAATGATTAAAATCAAAATGATCTGAGATACTCAGTGTTTTGTGCTTGCTACAATGTTTTCATAGTGTGGATAATGATAATGACATAATGATAACATTTTTAAAATGACCATCATAACTTCCCGTTATTCTCTGGCAGATTTGGGAACAGAAACATTGGGGTGGACTGGAAGAAAAATAGTCTTCAGAGACTGCTCTTACTGTGTGTGAGTGACTGAGGTTATAGTCTCCAAGTTACAGGGAGAGGAACCTCAGCCAAACAAATAAGCAAATCTAAGGCTATGGCATCCAAGGGATATGACAGCCTGCATATCATGGCAATCTGAAAAAGTTAGGTGAGCCACCTCTTTCCAGTCTCCATGAATTTTTGACAACACAGCTTGAAAACTGCTTTTTTGGGTTTTTTTTTGTTTTTTTTTTTTTTCTTTTTGCGATGAGTCTGGTCTCAAAACTCGAGAGATCTGCTTGCCTCTGCCTCTGCTTCCCTAGAGCTGGGATCACAGGCATGCACCACTAAGCCCAGTAAAAACTACTTTTTATGAGGGAAAAATAGTAGCTTTTCAGCTTCTGGATTTCTATTCTAATTCTATTAGATGGCCTTGGGCACTTGAACTGGCTTCTTCAAGTGTGAGACTGATCGTACCTGCCTCATACTATGATATACTCTACCGGTCACATGACAGGAAATGTTTAGGACAATGAAGCTGAAACTAGAGCTAGAGGACAAAGTCGTAATAACAAGTCGAGCCAGTTAGAACTTGATGCTCGAATCATCAAAAACTTAAATCTGATGGGAGGACGCGATTGGTCTTGGGGCGAGAGTAGGAGTTGTGAGTCACGTGATCTCAGGTCTGAAGGTTGAGAGGCCGGGAGGAACAATGACCCAGGGTGGATGTAGCATCTTTTGTAGCTTAACTGGTAGATATCAATGTGATACAAATTGGTGTTACCAGAGACTTTCTGCAGCATTGAAAATAAGCATTTTGAATAATGTTGTGGATCTGAGCTGGTGGGCATGGTAGTGCAGGCCTTCAATCCCGGCACCGGGGAGGCAGAAATAGGCAGATTTTTATGTGTTCAAGGACAGCCTGGTCTACCTACATAGTGAGCTCCGGGCCAGCCAGCCACCTTGCCTGGAGGATAGGGGAGTGTTGAAGAATCTGCATATTTACTCAGACTGTATATACTAGAGTCCCAGTTCAAACCTAGATTAACTGTACCAGAGTCAGGGATCTTTGCAGTGTTTAAACTTTTTTTTTTTTTAGGGTCTTAGTTTTTTTTTTTTTTTTTTTTTTTTTTTTGGTTTTTGGAGACAGGGTTTCTCTGTGTAGCTTTGCGCCTTTCCTGGAACTCACTTGGTAGCCCAGGCTGGCCTCGAACTCACAGAGATCCACCTGGCTCTGCCTCCCGAGTGCTGGGATTAAAGGCATGCGCCACCACCGCCCGGCTTTTTTTTTTTTTTTTTTTTTTTTTTTTTTAATGCTTGCATCTTTTTTTAAACGTACATTTTTTTTTAAGATTTATTTATTTATTTATTATGTATACAGTGTTCTGCCTGCATGTATGCTTGGACGCCAGAAGAGAGCACCAGATCTCATTATAGATGGTTGTGAGCCACCATGTGGTTACTGGGAATTGAACTCAGGACCTCTGGAAGAGCAGCTAGTGCTCTTAACCACTGAGCCATCTCTCCAGCCCGCAAGGGTCTTAGTTAAAACACTGGGTGTCATAAGCAGACCACCACCTCACTTTAGATCCTGACTTTACCTTTAGTTGTGTGTTCTTGAGTAAGGTTTTTAACCCACATTTTGGTTTGGAAAGTAGTAAGAATATTAGAATAGTTTCTACTTTATGCAGTGTTGCAAAGATTGAGTTGATAATACATGTTTGGCTTCCTGGCACCAAGAAGGCACCCTATAAATGATCAAAACCAGCGTCCAATGAATGTTAATGATCACAGTTGTTAGGTATGCTGTGTTCTTTGATGCCAGATCAGGATGGCAAATTGCTTACATCTAAGAAAACTGTTCTTTTTGTTCTGAGAGCCTAAAATGGCATAGTTTACTAAAAAAAGGAAACTTTAAACATATCCGACCCACAGCTATGCACTTTCCATGGTGTCCTTCATGTCTAAACATCCATCCTGGAGAGACTAATGGTCCTTTGCTCTATTCATATTGAACTTTATTCCCATCTCTTCCTCTTTGCTTCCAGATACCCAGCCCTTCCCTTTTGTTCTGGCTTCCCCAGATCTCTGTCTTTCCTTGTTTTCCATGGGTTCCTCCGGCCACACCTGAGACTTGAAGGACAAGAAGGATGAACATGCCCCTGCTGCCCTTGCCAGCCCTGAGTTTTCTTCTCCACTCAGCTGTTCCTGGCTTTCCAGCTTGTTATAAAATATGTAGGAGGCTGTGGTTGAAGCTTCGTGTGCGCTCCTGATTGTCATTATAGGCCCTTACAGGTACTTTTTGTACAGAGGCAAATATATTTTGTTACTCTTTTTTTTTTTTTCTTTTCCTTTTTTTCTTGTGGTATGTGTGGGTGTGTGGTGCACACACCTGAGTGTGTTTGTGTTTTCACCCATGCACGTCTATGGAGGCCAGCAGAAGACATTAGTTTTCCTCTGTCAGTCTTCAACTTACTCCTACCATTTTGGCTAAGCTGGCTAATCAGCAATCTCCCAAGACCCACCTGTCTCTGCCACCCAGCCTTGAAGATTTGAACCCAGGGCCTCATGTTTGTACGGCGGGTGTTCTGGCCTGTTACAGCATCTCCCTTACCCATTATTTGTGGTTTTGGTTCGTTGGTTATTTGTTTGTTTGTTTGGTTTGGTTTTTCGAGACAGGGTTTCTCTGTGTAGCCTTGGCTGTCCTGGAACTCGCTCTGTAGACCAGGCTGGCCTCAAATTCATAGAGATCCTCCTGCCTCTGTCTCCCAAGTGCTGGGATCAAAGGCTTGCGCCACAACTCCCCAGCCCATTATTTGTTTTGTTTTGTTTTTAAGTTACTAATTATCTTAAACACAGAGAAAACTGCAGGACATTAACAAATATTTGCACCCCGATCTAAAAGACATTAACATTTTGCCACATTTGCCAGAAAAATGTAAGCTACCGTTTAGTATAGGCTCCTTGAGTGGAGAATGAATCTTAGAACTTCCGAAGCCCTGGGAAAGCTAAGGCAGAGTGGTCAAGGTTTGGTGCAGGTTTCAGGGCTACAGGGCTAGGGTTAAAGTGGACATGATCCAGGGAGAATTAAGCTACGTTTTACTTAAGTAGAAAAGTGAGTTACTGTGGGACACTGAAAATCAACATTTCACATTTGAACTTGGAAGAGATTCACTAAATGTGTTTGTGTCAGTGGAGACACATACCTATGCTTTGTGGGAAAGATAACTATCAAATACCTTTTTTAGACAGCTAAGGATCAGTTTTTCTGGTTACAGAAAGTCTCCAGCAATGTATTTTTTTGTTTTGTTTTGTTTTGTTTTTTGTTTTTCGAGACAGGGTTTCTCTGTGTAGCTTTGCGCCTTTCCTGGATCTCGCTCTGTAGACCAGGCTGGCCTCGAACTCACAGAGATCCGCCTGCCTCTGCCTCCTGAGTGCTGGGATTAAAGGCGTGCGCCACCACCGCTCGGCTAGCAATGTATTTTTTATCATTATGAGGCATGGCCTTATTTTAGGTTTTTTGACATAAGGTCTTTCTTGTAGCTCAGGCTGGTCTGGATCTTGCTGTAGCCTAGATTATCTCAAACTCATGATTCCCCTGTCGCTGCCTTTCAAGCGCTCGCCACAGTCCCCAGCTTCTGCTGCCCTTTCTTTGTGAGGGTCCAAATGAAGTCGCTTCCTAACATGGACTAGTCACTGCTCAAAGGTTGCCTGAAACAGCAGCCTCCAGACTGCTCAGCTACCAGACCACGTGACTTTGTGAGCCGAGGTAAAAAACATGTTTATCCCCCTTGTGCTTTGAGGGAATGCTGCTTGAACCCTGTACAGAGGTGAGGGCTTACAAAGGGTTTGAGAGCAGCTGCCGGGCTGACGTATGCTTGTGACAGGAGAAGTTATGCTGAGCATTTAGAGAATTTGCTGTGGGGGTTCCTTTGCCACTGTTTTGTACTACTCTAGCTAGATGAAACTTTTTTTCAATAGAAATTCCTTTATTAGTCAAATTGTCAATACATTTTGAGTATCTTGTGAGGACATTTTTAGGCAAGTTGCTGAAAAGTAAAAACTTCACCTTTTATATCACTTGGTGTTCTGACTTCCCAGAAAACTCAAAGTTGAAAATTAAGGGGAAAATGTAATGTTTTTGTTAATTCTTTGAGAATATCATAGTTTATTTTGATCATATGCTACTCTTACCCCAACTCCTCCAGATCCACCCTCTCCATCTTCCCCTCTAAACACACCCAACTTGGAACTTGTTCTTCCCCCAACTTCTTGCTTTTTTTCCTCAACCGAGTCCAGTCTGTGTTGCCCAACTAGTCTTAGAAGTGGGGTCTAGAGTGTGGTTGACCTGCCAGGAGTCACATCATTAAAGAAAACAGACTCCCCCAATAGATATCAAATGCCAGGGATTCCTTAGCCCCTGGTGATAGTTCATTTCCACCTTCCCCCTTTCCATGATAGGATTTTTTTTTTTTCCTAAATCAAGCTTGCACAGCGTTCCGCATGTTGTCGCAACCACTGTGAGTAGTTCATATGTATGTGACTTGCTGTGTCTGGACAAGTGTCCCCTTTAAGTTATCCATCGCTTCTGGCTCTTAAAGACTTTCTGATCCCTCTTCTGTGAAGATTCTAAGACTTGCAGGGAGTGGGGGGGGTGACATGGCTATCCCATTGAGGACTTAGTACTATAGTTTCTCATCTCTTCATGTCTACCAGTTGAGGGTCTCGATATTAATTGTCATCTGCTGCAAAAGGAAGCTTCTCTGATGAGGCCTGAGTAAAGCTCTCATCTATGAGCATAGGAACAAGCTATTAGGAAACATTTTCATACTATGTCCATTTAGCACAATAATAGTATTGGGTTCTCCCTAGGACCTATGACATATCTGGCCATAGATGAAACATTTTAGGACATTCTATTTGTCATAATGTTAAGAATAAAAGACATACAGCAAACACACAGGCTTTACGTTAGACGACACATGACACTTGTTGATCACCCCAGTTTTCCTCAGGCTGTTTTCTAGCCCATACTCCTTCCTCTAGCAACCGCTAGCTTGCTTTTCTTTCCCTGTAAATTTTAATCATTTGCCTAGTCTAGAATTTCCTGTAAATGGAGCCATATGACATATTTTTGTTATAATTTTTTAATGTGGTGCTAATGATTAAATCCAGGGTTTTGCAGATGCTATAGAAGTCAACCACTGAGCTACACCTACACCCTTAATGAATAGTCTTTTTGTCTTTGTAGTTATAATTAATATACTAGAAAATTCTCCTCTCTTAAGTCTGTAATGTTACTGTTATATTTATTGCTAGGAGGCTGGGCATGGTCACTTGTGCTTGTGATCCCAGATCCCAGCAGGAGAATTACTGTAAGGTCAGGACCGGCCTGGACCATATGGCAAGTTCCAGCCCTACTAGGGCTATGTAGAGAGACGCTGTCTCAAACAGCAGTAAAGGAGGGAGATGGGGTGAGGACTAGTGTTGTAGCTCAGTGGTAGAAACACTTGTTTAACATGTATGAGACCCTGTGGTGTACACACACACACACACACACACACACACACACACACACACACAAGCTGAAGTGTCACATCTAAGAGCTTGAAGAAAAAAAGAGCAGACAAGGATCCTTTAAATTTGATACACGCTCTTAAACATTCATACCAGCAGAAAGAGGGGCCTGTTCCTAGGTATCCATTCTCTCCAGTTTATATACCACACACATTCATTTTCTTAAAAAATGTTTAACATTTAAGCCACGCAGTGGTGGTGCACGTCTTTTATCCCAGCACTTGGGAGGCAGAGCCAGGCGGATCTCTGTGAGTTCGAGGCCAGCCTGGTCTACAGAGTGAGTTCCAGGACAGGCACCAAAACTACACAGAGAAACCCTGTCTTGAAAATCCACAAAAAAAAAGTCTAACATTTATGTGTTTGTGTCACATAACATTGTGTGTCTGGAGGTTATGGTTGGAGGATAACCCATGAAAGTAGGTTTTCTGTCACTACGTGGACTCCAGCTCTCAATCTTAGGTTGTCTGTTTGGTTTGCATTTTATTTTGCAATACTGGGGGTTAAACCTTAGGTCTTGTACATGCCAGGCAAGGGCTGAACCATCGAGCCTCTCCCTAGCTCTTGGTTATCAGTTTTGGAGGCAAATGCTTTCACCTGCTGAACTGTCCTGCCTGTCATAAAATTTTAAATATGCTTTTCAAACAGTATATAGAGTTTTACTGTATACTGGGCACTACAATAGATGGCTGAGTTGAAATATTAGCATGTGAGAGTACTGTGGAAAAATGCAAAGGAAGCTAGCTTTGATATGCCTCTCAAATGGGCTATAAAAATGTAACCCTTTCCTAGGCCCTATCCAGCTGTGTTTTTGAGTTTGATCCTTGACCTCATTTTAACAGCTAATGGAGGTGGTTTAGTAACGTACTGAACAAATTGTATTCAACAGTAAGACTTCACCTTACAATGACTTGATTTTTATGGCCTAAAATTGGCTCCCGAGTTTGCTCCTTTTGAGTAAAGCTTGTATTTGTCTTCTCCAAACATCACAAGGACATGAATGGGTCTGTGTCTCCATAGGATTCCAGATGTGTGCTTGCTGCATCTGGAATCTGTAGCTTGCAGGCAGCACTGGAGCACTCACTCATAGGTGAGCACTTCTGATCCCAGCGGTGTGAGAGAGCAACCCGGGCCAGAGACTGACAGCAGGGGAAGTTCAGGGCTGCTGCTACATCTGTTTTCGGGAGGATTCTGGGCTGGAATTCAAAGGATTCTCTTTAAGATTCTGGTCCCTTGGTCTTATTTTTTACACTCTTGGAATACACTAGGGAGTTTTAGAAGACGTGGCGTCTGTACAAGATTCATAGTCTGCAGAGTTTTGTTTTTCTTTTTCCTGCAGTTTGCTATTGGGATATGAGGCTTCTGAAGAAAGGGTTTAAGAAATAACACAAGCCAAGCGGTGGTCGCACACGCCTTTAATCCCAGCTCTCGGGAGGCAGAGCCAGGTGGATCTCTGTGAGTTCAAGGCCAGCCTGGTCTATAGAGTGAGATCCAGGACAAGCACCAAAACTACACAGAGAAACCCTGTCTTGAAAAAACAAAAAAAAAAGGGGGGGTGGGGAAGAATACAAGACTAAAGAATTGGGTTTTTGTTTTGTTTGGTTTTTCGAGACAGGGTTTCTCTGTGTAGCTTTGCGCCTTTCCTAGAACTCACTCTGTAGCCCAGGCTGGCCTCGAACTCTCAGAGATTCGCCTGGCTCTGCCTCCTGAGCGCTGGGATTAAAGGCGTGTGCCACCACCGCCCGGCGATTTTAATCAGAGCTGGAATTGAGCTTGGCCCTCGAGTGGATGGAGTCATTTAATTGTTTGTTTGTTTTCTTTTAGACACTGTATGTCCTTGCTTCTTGCTTCCATGGGACACATGAGTCTATTGGAACTTGGGACAAGAAGAAAACAAGGTATCTCCACAACGAAACCCAGACACTAAAAAGACGTCCCAAACTCTGGAGAGCCGGACGCAGACATGGCGGACAGTGGCTGCAGGGCCCCTGTGGAAGGTAAGACTGGTCCTCACAGCACCGAGTGTGTGCTGTAGGAAATGGGGCTGTGTTAGGGAAGAATGTCTCTGGTGACCAAAACCTCAAGTTCTGAAGGAAGAGATTTTAATTCAGTGGGTTAGTTTATATTCACTGATTTTTACATTATATTAAATCTAGTTATAAGAAAGATAAATGTTTTAGATTCCCGTAAGTAGGGAATAGTTATTTTAGCAAAATGCTAGCCATCTTTTAAAAAGATGGTAGACTCATCTTTAGAATTCTGTTTATCAAATGAAAAAACCTGTGATTTAGAGGGGAACTTTCATACAATGAAGTCTTCATCCTGCTTCTTGGTGTGTGTGTGTGTGTGTGTGTGTGTGTGTGTGTGTGTGTGTGTGTGTGTGTTATAGAATAGGCAAGTGTGAAATAACTTTTTCAAAAGAGAAAGAGGACATCAATTCTTTTTTTTTTTTTTTTACATCTTACTTATTTTTGTGTGTGTGTGAGTGCAGGTGCAGGTGCAGGTCAGAGGACAATGTGTAGGAATTGTCTTAGGGATCAAACCTGAGTTGTGTGTGTGTGTGTGTGTGTGTGTGTGTGTGTGTGTGTGTGTGTGTGTGTGTGTAATTGCAGACCTTGTTAGAGTATAAAACTATGGGTAAAGTGGGTAAAAGGAAACATTTTTGTCTCACTAGACTCTCAAAAGGATTTGGAAAATGATCCCTCAGTCAGCTCTCAAGCCCAGGGCACTACAGTCACACCGAATGACACTGAAGAAGCCCAGACCCCACATCCTGCATCTGATCTCAAGACCCACCAGCATGAGGTAGGGGCCAAAGGTCAAGAGCATGCAGACACAGGTGACAGATCAGGAAGTTCAGAGGATGCGGCTGTAGGAAGACACCTGATGGATGAAGCAGAGCACAAGAGCACCCCACATTCTCAGGACACAGAGCAGGGGCGTCACCCTCCCTCGGAGCATCTGGGTGCAGAGGCCCTGGATCTGGATCCTGCCTGCTCCCAAAGCAGCAAGGGAGGAAGAGCAGGTGCACACCTGGGGAGCAAGTCTGCAGCCCCCCCAGAGGGAGCAGGGGACAGATGTGAGGCTGCTCAGGAGGCACTTGCTACAGACGCCGCCACCACCACCACCACTAATGCCCAGAGTCCTGGTCACTGCAGTGCAGGCCCAGGGAGCCGGGATGTACTGAGGAGGCGCCTGCCTGTGCCAGGTGAGAGAACCCTCTGAACTGCTGTCCCTGCCTGCGCTTCCCTGGGAAGTGGTGGAAGTCGTCGGAGCAGTAGGATGCTGGGGTGGGGTTCCAGTCTCCTAGACTAGCTCAGTCACTGTGTTTACCTGCTGCCTGTGTGTGTGTGTGTGTGTGTGTTATAGAATAGGCAAGTGTGAATGAGCTAATTAGCTTTTTCAGAAGAGAAAGAGGACATCAGTTTTGTTTTGTTTTTTTCACATTTATATATTTGTGTGTATGTGTGTGTGTGTAGTGAATCTCTGTCCCACCGGCCAACTCCCAAATCATGACATGGAGACTTCTTATTAATTAAGAAAGCCCGGCCAATAGCTTAGGCTTGTTTTTAGCTACCTCTTATAACTTAAATTAACCCATTTCTATTAATCTGTATGCTTCCCCAAGGCTTGTTTACCTCATCTACGTACTGTCCATCCTGTTTTCCTGCTTCCTCCATGTCTCCTCAAGTCTCCACCCTTCTTCTTCCCAATGTCCTCTGTGCCTGGAATTCCTGCTTAGCTATTGGCCGTTCAGCTCTTTATTAAACCAACCAGAGTGGCACATCTTCACAGTGTACAATAAGATCATCCCACAATATGTGTGAACGCACATAAAGTTCAGGACAGTCTGCAGGAGTTGGTTCCCTCCTTCCACCATGCAGGTCTCAGGGATCAAACCTAGGTTGTCCTCAGCCTGGCAGCAAGTGCCTCTATCTGCTGAGCCCTCTTGCCGGCCCTACCCTAGAAAGTTTTTAAATGTATAAAAGCAGAACAGTATAATGAGCCCCCAAAGACTTAACATCCAACTTCAACTGTTAGCAACACAATCCCAATCTTAGTGCCTGCCCTGCCTGGCAGGGGATGTAGCTAAGTGGTAGACACTTGCCTAGCATGCAAAGGGCTGGAGTCAACCTACCACTACAGAGGAAACAAAATGAAATTCATGAGACAGCTGGGAAAATGCGCATGACATGTACTTGGTGATATTAAGAAATTATTCATTTTTAAATGTAGTAAAAAAGTGTTACAACTTTTTTCTTAAGAATCCTTATCTTTTTAGAGGTGTATATCCTTGTATTTTATCTGAAATCGTGGGATGTCTAGAATTGCTTCAGTAAAATGATAGGAGCGAGCTGGGCAGTGGTGGTGCACGCCTTTAATCCCAGCACTCGGGAGGCAGAGGCAGGCGAGGCAGAGGCAGGCGGACTCTCTGTGAGTTTGAGGCCAGCCTGAGCTACAGAGTGAGTTCCAGGACAGCCAAGGATAGACGGAGAAACCCTGTCTTGAAAAACCAACCACAACAACAAAAAAAGATAGGAGGGAAGGGGAAAGTGAGGGGGAAATGCAGATGGAAAAGGTACACGCTGCTGTTGAGACAGGGTCTATCTCTGTGACACAGACTGGCCTTGAGCTCATGACCCTCTTGCTTCAGCCTCCCAAGGACTGGGATTGCAGTAGGTGTGTCCTACCACCCTAACTTAAGAGGATATACTTAGTAGAGCTTTATTATTATTTTATTATTATTATGTCAGCATTCACAATTGCTTTATATCAGTATTAGCTATTAGCTTTATTAGCATGGACCGCTTGTTTTACCCTTGGTAGGGTCCTAGAGAATTAATGTTTAAGGAAAGTGCCTTATAAATCATGAAAGGAAAATAACGTGTGTGTGTGTGTGTGTGTGTGTGTGTGTGTGTGTGTGTGTGTGTGTGTGTGTAATTGCAGACCTTGTTAGAGTATAAAACTATGGGGGAAGTGGGTAAAAGGAAACATTTTTGTCTCACTAGACTCTCAAAAGGATTTGGAAAATGATCCCTCAGTCAGCTCTCAAGCCCAGGGCACTACAGTCACACCGAATGACACTGAAGAAGCCCAGACCCCACATCCTGCATCTGATCTCAAGACCCACCAGCATGAGGTAGGGGCCAAAGGTCAAGAGCATGCAGACACAGGTGACAGATCAGGAAGTTCAGAGGACGCGGCTGTAGGAAGACACCTGATGGATGAAGAAGAGCACAAGAGCACCCCGCATTCTCAGGACACAGAGCAGGGGCGTCATCCCCCCTCGGAGCATCTGGGTGCTGAGGCCCTGGATCTGGATCCTGCCTGCTCCCAAAGCAGCAAGGGAGGAAGAGCAGGTGCACACCTGGGGAGCAGGTCTGCAGCCCCCCCAGAGGGAGCAGGGGACAGATGTGACGCTGCTCAGGAGGCACTTGCTACAGACGCCGCCACCACCACCACCACCACCACCACCACCACCACCACTGATGCCCAGAGTCCTGGTCACTGCAGTGCAGGCCCAGGGAGCCGGGATGTACTGAGGAGGCGCCTGCCTGTGCCAGGTGAGAGAACCCTCTGAACTGCTGTCCCCTGCCTGCGCTTCCCTGGGAAGTGGTGGAAGTCGTCGGAGCAGTAGGATGCTGGGGTGGGGTTCCAGTCTCCTAGACTAGCTCAGTCACTGTGTTTACCTGCTGCCTGTGTGTGTGTGTGTGTGTGTGTGTGTGTGTGTGTGTGTGTGTGTCTATTTGTGTGTGTGCAGTTGTCATGATGTGCTTATGGAGGTCACAGGACAGCTTGCATGGATCCTTTCAGCTCTCCCACCACGTGGGTTCTGGAAACGGAACTCGGGTCATCGTCACCCACCGAGCCATCCTGACGGCCCATAAGTTGCTTTTTTTTTAAAATGTGTATAGATGTTTTGTCTGCAAGTATGTCTGTGTAACATGTGCATGCCAGATATTCAAGGTAGTTTAGGAGAGGATGTCAGTTCCCCTGAAACTGTAATTACAGACAGTTGTGAGCCACTATGTAGGTATTGGGAATTGAACCCGGGTCCTCTGGAAGAGCAGTGGGTGCTCTTGACCAGTGAGCCATTTCTCCAGCCCCACCAACTGTATTTTTAAATATTGTTTTTTTTTTTTTTTTTTTTTTGGTTTTTCGAGACAGGGTTTCTCTGTGTAGCTTTGCGCCTTTCCTGGGACTCACTTGGTAGCCCAGGCTAGCCTCGAACTCACAGAGATCCGCCTGGCTCTGCCTCCCAAGTGCTGGGATTAAAGGCGTGCGCCACCACCGCCCGGCTTTAAATATTGTTTTTATTTACTGTTTATATTCATGCAATATGACAAAAAAGGAACATAACCTAAGGACAAAAATCTTACTTTTATTTCTTATGCGGATATTTAACTTCAAACTTTCAATTTTCTTGTCCTTTGGAAAAAAAATTGTGTGAATCAGCAGGTGAATCTGTATAAATCAACACAAATACACACACATAGATGCTTGGTTGGTTTTGTTGTTGCACTTGTTTTGAGATAGTATGTCACTCTGTAGCCCCAGCTGGCCTCAGACTCACGGTGATCCTCCTGCCTCAGCCTTCTGAGATCCAGGATTGCAGACATGCATCACCATGCCCAGTACTTCTAGAAGTACTCTGAAGAGCTCAGTCCGTGTTCTAGTACCAAGGTATTCATCAAGGGCTTGACTGTCCCTGCAAATCCCTGACACCTAGTATGTGTCATGCCTGTCCATCAGAATATCTGGGCAGAAACTCTTAGCCCACTTTTTTCATTGTATTTCTCTGGCATCCAGCACATAGGTACAGCTTTATGAATAGTTTTTGAGTTGGAAAAATTAATGAATGAACAAACAAATGGTGAATGCAATTAGATGGACCATTATCTGCAGTTAAAATTTCTCCATTGTGGAGGTTCTCCATGGGTAGAAAAATAAAACCGTGGTTTGAATGTAGCGTGTGTGAGAGAAAGAACCTAATACAGTGAAATGAACTAATTGGCAGTTTCGGTTTGCATAGACTGAAAATCTGCAAAGTATAGGAATCCCATCATGTAATTGGGTAAGAGGTAAAAGATAATACCTACTCTGACAATATACCGTCTCCAATGTTCCTTCTAACCCTAGAGGCTGGAAATCCTGAAGAAGAGACGCAGTTGGTGAAGGAAAAGGAAGAGATTGCACAGGATACCCTGAGAAAGATTGACAAAAAGAATCTCTGGAGCTATGGTGAGAACAAGCCTCATTTGGTTACAGTTGGTTTACATTCACAGATCCTCAGAGATAATGCCTAGAAAACTATTTCAGTTAAGCAGTTTTAACTTTAATTATTGATGCATTCAATCAAGTAGAGCAATAAAGTTTTAAAGTTTTGTCCTCCAGGAAAAAGCTGTTTGATATTTTGTTTAACAAACAGAAATCCTCATGGTCAGAGAATTTCCCCCACCCCTACTCCCACCCTTACTCCCGACCCCCACGGGGGACTGAATTAGGGCCTTGTGCCTGCTTGGCAAACACCCTACCACTGAGCTGCCTTGCTAGAGGCAGAAAACCCTGTATATATACGAGTACAGGAAACTGAAACTACCTTCGTTTTGTTTTGTTGAGACAGGGCTTTGCCATGTAGTCCGGACTGAGATTCACTGTGCAGCCCAGGCTAGCCCTCAGACACCTGACAGTATTCCTGCCTCGGCCTCCAGAGGCTGCCTTTTCCATTGGAGGGACACTCAGGCCGTTTGCTTTCCCTTTTGAGACCGAGTCTACATGTGTAGCGCAGGCTTGACAGTCCTCCTGCGTGCTGAGATGTGTAGGCTGTGCCACCCTGTCGGGGTCATTTTTAAGTTTTGATTGCAGAATGGTCTGCTCTGGCCAGTGTGTACTTTTAGAAAGTGGAAGAAAGTTCTCGTGATTCTTTCAAAAGCATCATCGACTATAACAAAGTATATGAACCACTCTGACATAGATCATCTATCTTCAAATAGCTTCAAGAGATTAAAGAAGGTATTTCTGTCAGACTTTTTGTTTTATTTCTGTGTAGACCATACTGGCCTCAAATTCATGACAATCCCCCTGCCTCAGCTTCTGTTAGACATTGTGAAAGTACAGGAGAGTCAGGCCAAGGGAACTTCCGGTCGTCAGAAGACTGACGGAAACCTGTTGGGTCGCTGCCTCCCACCAGCTTTGTTCCCGACTCACGGTCTTCTTGTTTTCTGTTATCTTCTCATCTGGCAGGGCCTGTGTTTCTCATCTGCCTCGTTGTGGCTCTTGTGCTGAGTTCCGTCAACAGCTACTATTCCTCCCCAGCCCAGCAAGTGCCCCAGAACCCGGCTCTGGAGGCTTTCCTGGCTCAGTTTGGCCAACTGAAGGATAAGTTTCCAGGCCAGAGTTCCTTTCTGTGGCAGCGAGGACGTAAGTTTCTCCAGAAGCACCTCAATGTCTCCAGCCCCTCTGAGCCTGCCACCCTCATCTTCACAGCCGCCCGAGAGGGAAAGGAGACCCTCAGGTGCCTGAGCCACCACGTCGCCAATGCCTACACCTCTTCCCAGAGAGTGTCTGCCGTCTCCATAGACGGAGCCCGGAGAGCCCTGGAGGACAGTGATACAGTCAAGCTGTGGGTTGACTTGGAGCTCAGCAGCGGGTTTGAGAATGGCCACAAGGCTGCCGTAGTCCACCACTTCGAATCCCTTCCTGCAGGCTCCACCCTGATTTTCTACAAGTACTGCGATCACGAGAACGCTGCCTTTAAAGATGTGGCCCTGGTCCTGACCGTCCTGCTGGAGGAGGAAACACTAGAAGCAAGTGTAGGCCCCAGGGAGACCGAAGAAAAAGTGAGGGATTTACTCTGGGCTAAATTCACCAACTCTGAGGCTTCCAGCTCCTTCAGCCACATGGACTCAGACAAACTGAGTGGGCTGTGGAGCCGCATCTCCCACCTGGTGCTGCCCGTGCAGCCTGTGAAGAGCATCGAAGAGCAGGGCTGCCTCCTGTGAAGCCAGGCACAGGCAGAGGCTGTGGTGTTGAAGGGACAGGTCTGAGGGCCCCCTTCCCCTGGGAGGAGGTGCTTAGTTAGCACATGGGAGGAGACAGCTGAGAGGCACATGACCTTATTTTAGAAAAGAAGCTTTCTTCTTCTTCTTTTTTTTTCCCTTTTTCCTTTTGTAAAAACTTTCGAATCTAAACTTTGATAAAGCTAACACTTGGCCTGATGGTTTTCTTTGCCTTTTTAAGCAAATCAGGCTTAGAGTACAGCATGATACATAACACTGAGGGATTGTTTAAATGTCCAGTCCATGCGCAGAATCATTGCACAGGAAAATCTGATTTTCAGAGGCTCTTCAGCAGGGCTGCTGCCTTGGGAGGACTCCACAGAGCCTCTTGGACAGTGTTCGGACTCAGACTAGTAATTCCAGTGATTTCAGGGAACGCTTCTACCACATAGGAAGTATTTTTTAAGACTCACTTCAATAAGGCAGTTGTTGGGTTGTGTCTTACAGATTTGCACTTTGAGTAGATGAAAACAGGAAACTAGAGTTCCACCCTCCAAATCCTGCCTAAGAACTTGGTTCGTGTATGCTTTTATTCCATTAATGAGCTGAGGTAAAAACAGCTTTGGGCAAATGTTCCCGAGTATTAGAATCAATGTAGAAATTGTTAGTAATCACTGGGAATGAGGAAATCCCAACTGGCTGTATCGTTTCTCTGTGCCTACCAGCAGCCCCCTCCTTCATATGAGAACATCTCTACTTAACATTTTCTGTTAAGATTTCAGTGGAGCAACGCTTCACTGAGAAGGAAGTTTGAACACCATTGATGCAGCGAAAGCACATTCTAGAAGCTGTGACCTCGGATGGGAAGAGATGGAAGCGTTAAAGCCTAGGAGTAGGAAGATGGAGTAAGGTTTGCTGTACAGGGTGATAGAGACCTGCAGATGAGCTACGGTAGGGTGCAGAGGCATGGCCTCTGGCTTTGCTCATTTCTCCTGATCACTTCTGCCTCTGCTGCTGGAATTTCACAGCTGTCTGTGTGAGAGTTTGAGTGCCGTTTCCGAAGAGACGTCAGTCTCAGCAGCTGGCATGACTTTACCACATGGGATTTGCTATGCCATGATGGGACATTTCATTCGTCTCTTGACAGCTAGGTAGGAATGCCATTAGGGGAGGAATTGGAGAAATGAAAGAGGATGTCCTACATAGGGAAGAGAAAGAGAAACCATGGCCAATATCAGTTGTTAAGCCATGCCCCATGATGGTTAGACTGGGCCCAATAGCTGTTGATAGGCATATGAACTCTAAAACTCTAGTAAAATGATCTGGTTTGTTCCATTACATGGACAGGAATAGCCCTGGAATTTTGCACTCGGTTTTGGCTCGTCTGCTGCTATGAGATCATGTATATAATTAACAAGTTAAGTTATTTAAGTCGGAGGGATTTTAGGAAACACTAAGAAGATCTCTATTGATAGTTAGAAGGGTCATAAAGACATGGGGTGGGGAGTGGTCTGAAAACATTTGCCACAGAAAGAGCACAGATTGGCTTTGGCCAGAGCCTTTGGTGTGCTCAGTTAAGTGTGGAGACACACATGAAGACACAGTATATATTTGGTGTGCTCAGTTAAGTGTGGAGACACACATGAAGACACAGTATATATTTGGGATTTTGAAGGAATCTTCAATAGATTTGAGACAAGACCCTAAACACAAAGTTTAAGCATAGTGAATGGAATTTGAATTTCAACCCAATGGAAAACAGAGGGACTGGAGAAAAATCTGTATGCCATATTTGATTTTTTTTTCTGTATTTCTAGACTTCTGTTTGTTTGTTTTGAATGCTAGTGGCTTGTCATACAGCCCTGGCTGGCCTGGTCCTCACTCTGTAGCCAAGGCTGGCTTTGAACGTACAGTAATTTTTCCTGCCTCATTTTCCTGAGTGCTGGGGTTACAGGTGTATACCATCACACTCAGCTTTAATTTCAGCTCTTAGCTGTTAGCGTGTTAACATTAACAGGTTAACATATCACACAGAACCAAAGGTGCCTTGCAGAACTGTTATGCTGGCCTTCAACCTGTGCTACCTCGGACTGCAGAGGAATGGGTCTAAAGTATTTGTACACAGTCCATGTCGGGTGGTTCTGATCACGGGGGAGAAACTTTCTTCATTCAGTTGATATCTACATAATTTGCTGTCAACATAAACTTAGGATATAATACATTTCTAAAATTTAGTTCATTTTCAATTTTTTTTTTTTTTACTGGTGACTTTGTTAAAATACACTTTTCCTTCTATAATAAGTGCAATCAACTGAGACTAGTCAGTTTTCTATCCACTATTTCAAAACCCTTTTTTTGTTTAATTTTTTGTTTTTTCAGTAGTGGGGATTGAACCCAGGACCTTGACATTTGAGGAAAGTGTCCTACCACTAAGCTACATCCCCAGACCTTACACATCATTTTGAAAAGAAGCATACGTGAGTTTGGGGTCAGAACGAGTGAGTCTCTGTTTTTGATGCAGTCACTCTCTACGTAGCCCAAACTAGTGATTCTCAGGCCCTAGACTTCTGTGTGGTGGGATTATAGGAGTGTACCACCACACCAACTTAATGTAATTACTTTTTAAACAAAAATATATTTTAAAATGTACACATAATTAAAATCTGTTATCTGATGTATTGTCTTCTAGTCCATTGTTTTTCACTTTTTTCAGTTTTTCATCCTCGCATGCATGCGTGCGTGCGTGCGTGTATGTGTGTGTGTGTGTGTGTGTGTGTGTGTGTGTGTGTGTATGTAGTCATTATTTGTGATTAATTTGCTTGACTTAGAAAAATTATTTGCAGCGACATGACAGCACACACCATGTTTGAACATCACAGTTTAATTAGTACCATAGAACAAAAATACATATATTGTTGGTTTGTTTTTTTAATGGGAATCTCTTCTTGAGTAATACCAAGTCCCAGAAGCAAGCAGGGGAATTGGAAATTGTTTTTGGACTTGGGTTTTTCCCTTTCGTGTAAAATTCAGATTTTTAAGTTAGCTTTCAGAGATTAGCAAAGAAGTTCTAGAGAGTTCTTAGCATGGAAATAATTTTAATAAATTTCACCTGGAAGCCCTCAGGCTTGGGGGAGTGAGGCTCGGCCTGTGGCCCACCCTGACTATTGGCTGGCAATAGAGCATTGTCTCACGGCCTTTGGTTTATACTTCTTGTAGAACACAGGAGCGTTGTGAGCACTGATGTTCGAATGTGACGGACAGATGCGGCCTGTGAAGGTGGAGATAATGCAGCAAGATGATTTTCACCAACACACTTACTTTCTCTAGCTCACCAAGATGTCTTAACCACCGACGTTGCCTGTATGCATTTACAAACTAAATGGCTTTGACAGTATTGATGTCAGACTCGCCCATGTCACCATGGGTGCTTTTTGCATTTGTTTCCATATTGATGATGTCGACTGTGCCTTATTCAAATCAATTGCTGGTTAATATACAAATAAATCTCCTTAATTTTTCCTAGTTGACTTATTTTTGACTAAAATCTCCAAAATAAAGAGTTACAGAAACGGGCGTGTGGTCATTAATGGTGGGAAGGGTCAAAATTGCCCTGGCAGCCCCAGGCGGTGTTGGTAGCTGTCAGTGAAGAGGTACAGCGCAGGCGGCGTGTCCAGAACACTTGGCGGTGTTTATGTAGCAGTTTATTCCCACCGGACCGGGCTCTCTCTTGACTAGGGGAAGAGTGAAATAGTAAACACAGCCTTGGGAGCTCTTCCAAACGTGGGCTGTGCCGACTGGGGATGTAAAAATGTGTGTGTGTGTGTGTGTGTGTGTGAAACATCTTGTATGTTGGAAGTAGGGAGGTAGTTTGTGTCAAAAATTCAAACGTAGAGGCCAGGGAAGACGGTGCATGTAGTAAAGGGTTTGCTGCACAGATGTGAGGATCAGGGTTCGGATCCCAGCACACACAGGACAAGTTGGGCTTCCTGTGAATGACTGACACCTAGCATCTGCCGTCTGCCTGGACACAGGCAGACACTAACATACATCTAAAACAAGAAACTGCATGGCAGCATGTGTCTGTAGATCCAGCTCTTGGGAAGGTAGAAACTCCTGGGGCTCACTGACCAACCAGCCCAGCTGAATCTGTAATTCTAGACTGAATGAAAGGCCCTCTCAAAAAAGATGGAGTGCAATTGAGGAAGACGTTCAACATCGACACGCATGCACGCACCCACCTCAGGGCTGGAGTGATAGCTCGGCTGCAAAAAATGCTTGCCTTGGAAGCACACTGACCTGAGTTCAATCTCTACAAACCTGTTTTTAAAAAAGAAGAGAAACGGCTGGGTTTCTCCCCACCCCCACCCCTGCACTGGGGACACAAGAGACACACAGAACCCTAAGGCTCGAGGGCCAGCCAGTCTAGTCTGTTTGTCACCTCCAGGCCTGTCTCAAATAACAAGATGGACTGTGCCTGAGAAAGGACACATGCACCCCCCAGAAAAAAAAAAAATTCCCTCTGAGAATGTTGCCAAACCGGAATTACTGTGTAGAAGCCCTAGGTTCCAGGCTTCTGGCCCCTTACTGCTCTTCCTCTGGTGTTGGGCCCTCTGTCTACCCTCAGCTCAGACCAAGGCTGTTTCTTGACTAATTTCCTATTTGATTTTTGTAGTTTAGGAAAATATATTTTCAGGAGTTAGCATATCTTAAGAACTTTTGGCTAGCCAGAGTGCACATGAGCCTGCTCACAGAGAATGGGGCTTCTTAAACATGCTCCAAATAGCGACAGTGAATGAGCAGCATGGTGGTGGTTTTATTTTTAAGTGTTTATGGTAAAAGCCAAGAAAAAGTTACATATCTACCCCCAAACACAAACTGGGTAGTAGTCGAGTTCCTAGGCAATATATTCAAAGTTGAGGATTAAAACTTTAAAACAAAGCAAAACTAAGCCCTCCTATTCTGATAGCCCTCGTGGAGGCGTGAACTGTCAGGGGTTCCAGAGATGGCTCAGTGGTTAAGACTGCTTTCTGCTCTTAGAGAGGATGGGAGTTCAGTTCCTAGCCAGCCGCATTTGGTGTCTCACAACCATCTAACTCCAGCTCCAGGGGACCTGATACCCTCTTACACAAACATACACATATATACACACAAGTAAAAAAACAATTAACTGTCAATATACTAATGATGATCTCCTGAGATGCCATTTCAAGTTCTCATTTGGGTTGATAATAAATCTGCAAACAACAAAAATAGATAAGCTAGGGGCCGGAGAGATGGCTGGGAGCTGAGGAGCACTTGCTGATCTTAGTACCTAGGTTTGGTACCCAACACCCACACGGTTAGACTTCACTCTGTCAGTCTAGGAACTATAAGGAGGGGGTCTGGGGCAGAGAGTGGGGGAGAAGGCCGTGGGGGGCAGTGGGAAGGGAAATGGTGGCATTTGGACATTAAAGGATTCCTTTTGCCTGGGGACCCTTAAGTTGGCCTGCCTGAGTCCTCTGTCATCCATCCCACACCCCAGGCCCTACCTCAGTGTGCCCACAGACTAGGAGGAAGGAGGTCACATCCCACCGCTGCCTGGCAAACTAAGCCTTGCACTCCCAGCTGGCTGTGGGTCTTCTGGGCACTTCCCTGTCCTGTATCCTTATCTGAGGCTGTCCCTCTGTAAAACTATCTTCTAAACCTTTTCTCTGTGGAATGTACTTAAAGCCAGATGTCATGTGGGGAGTAGAGATAATGGCCCTGTCATTCTGCCTTCCTCTGGGGTTGGTGAGCCCCATTCTGCCAGAACAGGCAGAATGAGCCTAGCTTAAAACTTTTTTTTTAAATACGAAAGTAGATCTAAACAAGGTAATTCTAACGAATGGCTTGAGAGTATTGTGACTAAGTCCATGCCATGCACTCCCATGTACACTTCAAAATGGTTCAAAATACACATTTTGAGTGATTTTTCTTTTGCCCCTACAAGAAATACTTTTGAATTCGTACAGTGCAGACCTGTGCTGTCTGATCCTGTTTCTCAGCCCAGCCTTCAGCTCTTGGCCTTGTGGGGGAGAAACTTGGCTCTTTCCCTGTTCAGAGGTAACAGAGAGCCTTGGTGTCAGCCAAGCCCCAGCTCCAGATCTGGAGCGGTGAAGGACCGCAGCTTCTCCAGACACCACGAACATGCCCACGTGGCTATGCTTGGCTCACTCCACACATCAGACAGACTTACCCACACGGGTCTCTGTGAGATGGCTCAGCACACTCTCCCACTTTTCAGAGATGGCTTTCATAGAAGTTTACTTGGAAAAATCTTTTGGAATGTAAATTGACAAAAAAAAAAAAAAAACCCATCAGGGCAAGAAGGTGTACGCCTGCAATCCCAGCACTTGGGCAGAGGCAAGGGGGTCAGGAGTTCAAGGTGATGTTCAGCTACAAGAGCTGTCTTTGTTTGTTTGTTTGTTTGTTTGTTTGTTTGTGTTTGGGGGACAGTCTTTCTATGTAGTCCTGGAACTTGGATATGTAGAACAGGCTGGCCCGGAGCTCACAGAGATTCACCTGCCTTTGCCTCCTGAGTGCTGGGATTAAAGGTGTGCACCATCTAGCCTGCCACCTGGGCTACATGTGACCCTGTCTCAAAACTACAGCAACAAAATCAAAATGACATAATAAGGAATCAATTGGAAAGGCTCCATTTCTGTTCCCTTATCATTCGCTATTCTTTCTCAATAAATCTGTGTGTGTCTGTGTGTGTGTTATGGGTTATATATGTGTCTGTGTGTGTGTGTCTCTGTGTGTGTATATGTGTGTGTATGTCTGTGCGTGTGTGTGTCTCTGTGTGTATATATGTGTATGTGTATGTCTGTGTATTATGGGTTATATATTTGTCTGTGTGTGTGTGTCTCTGTGTGTATATGTGTGTGTGTATGTCTGTGTATTATGGGTTATATATGTGTCTGTGTGTGTGTCTATGTGTGTGTCTGTGTGTGTCAGTGTGTGTGCCTGTGTATGTGTGTGTGAGATGGGTTATATATGTCTGTGTGTGTCTCTGTGTGTGTGTGTGTGATGGGTTATACATGTGTCTGTGTGCCTATCTATGTACACAGAGGGAGGAGGAGGATGTTGGTTTGTGTGTGTGTGCGTGTGTGTGTGTGTGTGTGTGTGTGTGTGTGATGGGTTATACATGTGTTTGTTTGTGTGCCTATCTATGTACACAGGAGGATGGTGGTTATCCTGCTCTGTCATCCCCCCTCAGCTCCTTCTCGCTCTGCCCCTACAGTGCTAAGGGTACAGGTACATGTTCAGTCACATCAGCCACATTTTTACATGGGTGTTGGAGATTTGAACTCAGGTACTCATGCTTGTACGACAAGCGTTCTTACCCACTGAGCCATCCATCTCTCTAGGCGCTCCACAGAGGACTATACAATGATTTATTTTTATTTTATTTTTGTGTATGAGTGTTTTGCCTTCAAGTATATCTTTGTACCATGTTCCTGCAGTGCCTACAGAGGCCAGAAGAGAACATTAGACCCCCTAGAACTGAACCACCATGTGGGTGCTGAGAATTGAACGTGGGTCCTGGGCCAGAGCTGCCAGTGCTCTTAACCACTGAACTGTCTCTCCAATCCCCAACAGGAGACTTTTTTTTTTTTTTTTTTTTTTTTTTTTTTGGTTTTTCGGTGAGACAGGGTTTCTCTGTGTAGCTTTGCGCCTTTCCTGGAACTCACTTGGTAGCCCAGGCTGGCCTCGAACTCACAGAGATCCGCCTGGCTCTGCCTCCCAAGTGCTGGGATTAAAGGCGTGCGCCACCATCGCCCGGCAGGAGACTTTTTTTTTATTGAAGTGTACGATCTTGAAATTTTCTTATCTCAGGCATGTTCTATGTTACAACTTTCTTCTATTTTAAAAATTCTTTATTTTTTCCTTTTAGCCTTCTCCTCATTGTCTGTTCCCAGTTCCTGACTCATTCTCCTTAGGAGTAGGGCAGAAAGGAAGGGAAGGGGGACTCAGGTCAAGGAAGAATAGGGTCAGTGAGATAGATTCACAATACACAGAGACCTGAGGTTTGGGTCTTAGTGATCATTCTTTTGGTTTGGGGATGGAGTTCAGAGGACCGTGGGAGAAGGTGAGGGCTCTAGTTTAGTTTAAAATGTTTGACTCTCTCAAGGGGAGTGCTCTTTTGTTAGTTTTAGGAGCAAGAATACACTTCCCGATAGGTCCAAGAAAGAACTCTGGGTCGAGGCAGAAGCCCTGGGCTGCCCATGTGGATGGGCAGGAGTGGACACAGGTATGGTTTGTGCCAAAGGGCCTGGAGCTGGAGCCTGAGCTTCCCCCCCCTGCTCAGGCACATGTCATTTTATGTTCAAACCCAGAAGGGAAGGTGATCTCAGGTAGTGACTCAGAGTGACTCAGCCCCCAAGCATCTGGTGCCCATCCCTATGGAGATGGGAACTGTCACACCTATTTCTGTGAGATGGGGCTTTATTTCCCACCTTGATGTGGTTGGTGTATGGGAGAGGGGGCCACAGTGACA